CTAATTCCAAAAGAATATTTCCCAGCCATTTTCATCTTTTCCTCTTGGCCTGCCAGTTGAGATCTGAATGCGTGGTCTAAGTGTCCACCTCTTATCTCTTTCAGCTGCATGTTTTGTCTTTGGGAACAACAGGAGCCTCTGTGTCCTTTATGCATTGTGTTTGATAAAGGGACCGATTTGATTTGCTTGTTGCCCAATCTTCCAGTTTGTCTCCAACCAAACCCAAAGTGCCGCCTGCTATTTAAGTCTAAGTATTGGATGAAAGCCGTAGTCTAATCAATGACCACTTGGGCATCTAGGACAGCTTTTGACACTTGTCAGTATTATTAGTAACCAGCCAGCTTGCCCTCTAGGATAAAGAAAAACAGGAGATACGTGTGAAGGTATTCTTTGGCAATGAGCTATTCCTCCAGGATAACTAAGTTACCACTCATATCTGCAAGGTTGACTTCGCTAGCTCAACCCATGACTCTAACCTGCATCCTTTCACCAATTCTAAACACAAAACAAAATGAGCCGCCAAGCTGTTTCACGAAGTTGAATAAACTGCACAAGAGATTAGTCTGCCTCCAGCGCTAGAAGGGTGGGTCCTGAAAGGACACCGGGTGTGCCTGCGGGTGGCTTGAACGGAGGCCACGCTGTCTGGAAACTGCTGGGTTCTGTCACGTGGCCTGCAGTCGGGGTGCACTTGCTTGGTCCTGGGCCTCTGCTGTGCGAGCTTTGGTATCGTCCTGGTCTCACTACAGCCTCCTCTGACCAGTGCTGGCGACTCCTCTGTGGCCCAGGCCTGGCAGCCCTGCAGTCACCTCACCTTCCTGCGGACCCCAGGGGCACGCTCCCCAGGGGGGCGGTCTCATGTTCCCGCTTTGCCTGCTCCATTCCTCTTCAGATTCCGTTTAGAAGAGGTCTTTTTGAGGTTAAAACCCTGCCATTGATTTCCTTCAACTTCTTTTCTTTTTTTTTTTTTTTGAGACAGAGTCTCACTGTTTTGCCTGGCCTAGAGTGCCGTGGCGTCAGCCTAGCTCACAGCAACCTCAAACTCCTGGGCTCAGGCAATTCTTCTGTCTCAGCCTCCCAAGTAGCTGGGACTACAGGCACGAGCCACCATGCCCAGCTAATTTTTTCTCTATATAGTTTTTTAGTTGTCCGATTAATTTCTTTCTATTTTTAGTAGAGACGGGGGTCTCGCTCTTGCTTAGGCTGGTCTCGAACTCCTGAGCTCAAGCAATACCGCCCGCCTCGGCCTCCCAGAGTGCTAGGATTACAGGCATGAGCCACTGCGCCTGGCCCAACTTCTTTTCTTGATTATCCCATTTTACTAATCTCTGTGGTTTGTTCCTGTTCCTGGGCAAGTGACTTCCTTCACTCTGATACTCTTAGAAGAACAGCCTTTTACTCTAATCTTAATACTTTGTTTGCAGTTTATTAATGCCATAGTTTTCTGGGGCAGGGTGGGGAGCTACCTAAAACACGTCATGAACACCTCCCACGTGCCAAGCACCACGCCTGTGCTGCACGCACATGGCTCATGCTCGAGACACCTGTACCAGCTTGCTTTCCCCGGCTCCGTTCTCCCATTCTCAGGAAATTCAGATGAGAACTTCCAGAAGGCAGTTGATGTTCAGTTTCTCAGGGTTTGCTGCTGTATTTGTTGTCACGTGAGTGAAGACCCATCACCCCTGAAATTTCAGAAAGGTAGCGCTAACTGGCCTGTCAGCAGGGACTGGGCGTTAGGAGGGGATGCAGTCATGAAGAGAACGTAGGGGACTGATGGAAGAGAAAGGACATAGATACTCCAGCATCCCTGGAAAGCTGATTTTGCACTTCACCAGAGTACAGTACCATTTTATCATGCCGATAGGAGGAAGATCTGGAAGAAATTTTATCCGGCTGGTAGGGGTGTCCACTGAGGCTGCGTTTTTAAATCCCTGTTCATTGCGCACAAATCAAATGGGTCTTTGTTGTTTTTCAGCTTCACTGACTCGGCCTGGAAGGAAAATGCTAGCCTTTCTTTGGGTCAAAGTTGCGAAACAAAGCAAAAAACAACAAACATAACCTTTCAGGATCTATACAGAGTGACCCCCTCTCCCCGTCTTTTTGCCCTTTTCCATTTCGAAATGTCACAATTATTAAAGGTTAAATTTTTGGAAGGAACATGTGCTAGCCTATGTGAGAAAACAGTCCATTTTTGGGCTCTGTGGTCTGCATGAGACCTGTGCATTCTTGTTCTCTACATCCACACACAGGCCAATGGGAAACCCATTCGAATGTGTTGGTTACAAAGTAGTGTTATGTCACGGGTCTAGATATATCTGCGCGTGCTTGTAAGAATCAGGATGCCTGGCCCGCTACAGAGCTTGAAAAGAGTTTGTGCTACTGTAGTTGGAGTATCTGGGAGATACCCTCTGAATGCTGAGATGTTTCTAGGGCCAAGGGACAGAATATAGGAAAGTGGGGAAATTTAGGCCATGTGGTCGTTGTTTACGGAGCCGCTAATTTTGCTCAGCTGGGAGTGGGTTCCTAGCGCACTGGTGACTGTAATGCACCGGGTATACCAGTACCGTTTCTTGTGCAGTAGTTTTCCCACACAGCTCTGCTCAAGGCTGCTGGTCTAACTTCAATGTGCATTCGAAACACTTGACACAATTGACAAAGATGAAGTTCTGGGCCCTATGTCCACAAATCTGACTCCTTTGCTCTGAAATGACGCTTCATCTGCTTCTGTAACTAGTTGCTCTGCACACGGCCATGGCCCACACTCTGAGAAACATCTAGCCCATCACCGCTCAGTTGTGTGTTTTGAGCTGTAGTTTATCACCAAATGAGAACTGGGTGAAATTGTTGAACAACGATGATTTCCACAGATGTTTCCTGTGTTCCTAATCTCCTGAAACTGTGGTATCATGCCCTGCCCTACAACTTTTCTCCCATCCTTTAATTCAGACCGCAGCACGGCATTATTTCTTTGAGACATCTACTCCTGAGTAACGAGGGGAGGGAATATTTTGGTTTTTTTTAAGTGGAAGAAACTAAATTTCAAATGCTATAGCTCTCTGTGCTTGAATCTTATAACAGACTCCTAGGGGCAGTGTCCCCAGGTCCTTCTACTGGGGCAACCTCAACTGCCATTGTCAGGAGAGAAAGGGACCCAGGAACCTTCAAGCGGAGAGGATGGTACTTTGGGTCCCTCAGCGTGTGATTTATATTAGTGACCCCTAACTTCTCAGAGCCAAGTGGGGAAGCAGTTTTCCTCTTGATGCGGGTCTTCAGAGACCCCCTAAAAAGAGAACTATGAACTGAAAGTTCGATGACGGGATTTTAGGATGTACAGTTGTCAATTCCCAGTGATTTTCCAGGCCTGTTGTGTGTGTGTGCGTGTGTGCGCGTGTGTGTGTGTGTGTGTGTGTGCGTGTCTGTGCGTGTGTGTGTGTGCGTGTGTGTGCGCGTGTGTGTGTGTGCGTGTGTGCGTGCATGTGTGCGCGTGTGTGTGTGTTTAAGTAACAGGACATAAGGATCCTTGACAGGTGGCTGATCGCCAAACCTTATGTGAATCAATATTTACACTCTCTTCTGTTAAATAGGGTTAAGAAGGTACCTGCATTTGACATGTTGAATTTCATCGCCTGTCTTCTTTCCTGTGCCCACCTGGCTCTCTTCAGAAGTTGCTAAGGAGTGGTGAAAGGGTTAAGTCAGCAGCAGGAGCAGGAGAAGGAGGAGGAAGCAAAGTTCTATGAAATTATAAACTGTGATTTATTTCCTATCCTCCTCTGACCCCCCCCAAAAACATGGTTATGGGGGTGTTGACCCCACGGCCCACCTGGGGGGTCTAGAAGGACATGTTGAGCCTGAGGCCTGCCCACTGGGTACTCTCAGCCACCCTGGGAGGGGTTCTGGCAGCTGCTGGCCAGCCTGTTCTGTTGCATCGCGTAGGTTGAGCAGAAAGGAGAGAGGCGTGTTCCTGGGCGGAGTGAGCCCCAGACGCGCCAGCGGCGACCATCCCACAGACACGGAACTCAACCGAGCATAGAATAGGGTGGTGGGATTTGGGGGTACTGGAAAGAGTGCCAGGCCCTCACCTGTTCACCTCTCACCTCACACAGTGGCCATTTTATTTGCTGCTGACCCGAGCCAAGGCTGCGCAGGCTTCAGCCGCCCAGTCTCCAGCTGGCACATATGGCTCCCGATGGTCACTGGCAATTGGACCTATCTGATCTTTCTTACGTCAGGGCTACTCATGCCACTTATTACTGAATCCACGGCCAGAGGTCCCGAACACGAGGAGAGAGAGGACGCCTGGATTAGCCGGGGCTCTCTTGCTCTTAATACCGACCTGATCATGAGGGTGAGAAGAGGGCAACATGAAAGAGGATGACCCTGAAGGCCAAGTGGGTCTCTGACAGCCAGGCGCAAAGCCAGCACTTTTGAGACTGAGCCAGTCTCCAGCCTACAGCCTGTGGAAAGATAGCCTGGAGGCGGGCTCTTCTGAGCTCAGGTGTTCTAGGTGACCCAGTGCACACAGAAGGAGCGGGGCTCTGGCCTTATTCTCACTACTCCAGTTTGGTTTTGGAGGACCACCCAGGAGACGACTGCTTTCATGCTCCTGGGAACCCGGACAGGTCTCAGCTGATTGCCAAGCCATCTACATCGATTGCCAAGCCATCTACATCGCTTGGGCATAACTAGAAGCTGCTTCAGGTGAATTCTTACCTCCCTCTCTTCCTTCCCTGTGGACAGAGGAAGACATAGGTTGCAAAGGGCAGTAAGGGGATAATATAGCTATGTTCTAGTATCCTGGGCTCTCTTTGATACCAAGAGGCTGCTTCTGGCACCTATGATGTTTCTAGCACCAGGTGCTTGGTGACTTGGGACACCCCTGAACCCCACCTGAGCACGAGAGGCAGTCTGGTGTAGGGGAAGAGCCCTGGGAAGGGCTTCTAGACTACATTTTCCAGCTCTGCGGTTCACTGGTTGAGTCAAATCAGTTTGGGTTGCACAAAGTTAAAGCTGATTTCTTTCCTGCAGGAATTCCAAAAGCCTTTGACATGTATTGTGTACTATGCATCTCTAAAAAAGAAATATAAATAGTGTTTCCTAAATATATTTGACTGTGGGACCCTTTTGAAATGGAGTAACCTACCAACACCTCGCTGCACAGTTTGTGAAATGCCAAACTGGAAGTTACTGTCACTGCACTTTTTGACCCTGTGTCATTGATCTGTTGATTCTCTCTGGTTCCTGATAGATACTTGAGGAGGGAACAACATTCCTGGAGGCAGGACAAAGAGACCACACTGTGGTGTAACACAGAATGGGCACAGGAATCCTAACCTAGCTCTTCCCTTGGGACGTTCAGGGCCTCTTTCTCCTCTGGGAACGGGTGATGATTCCTATAAGAACCTGTGATCTGCTCTCGGCATCCAATTGAGGGTAACGCTCTGGGCGTGAGCGGCATTACAAGGATTTCACCTCTCTCTGTTGTGTTCTGAAAGGCCCCACTTGTCACACAGGGTCTGTTATTTTTCCTGTTGTCCTCAAAAACCCCCTGGTGGCCAGGTGTGATGGGCCTTTGCCTGCCTGCTCCGAGGGCAGGTCTCAAGTGTGGATGGAACTAGCGTGGGCAGAGGGTAGGTAGGTTTCCCTGGCTGGGATTTTCTCTTTCTGTTTGCAAAACACTGTTAAAAGATTATTGCCTCCTATATTGCTGAGGTCCAACTACAGCGCCTGCATTCGACAGAGGGCCTTCGCCCAGATGCGAGCAAAACTCCAACAAGAGACGTGAAAACCGGCCACACACAGACATCGCACTTGGCTATCTGGCAGGGAAGCAAGCATGTGGGTGGGCACAGGGATGCGATGCCCATCGCTCAGGCCTGTTTTCAGGAAACTAGAGGCTCTCCAAGGCCCACCACTCAGTCAGACAATGTTGGAATGTCATGGTGAAGGAAAATGGGAACATGTAGATAATCAGTTCCTGGGTCGAAGGCATTTAGAAAGTATGTTCTCAGACCCTCCATTCTGTTCCCGGCAGGGACCCAGGCTGAGAAGGAAACTGAGGCAGGGCGAGTGTGAGAGAGCTCTCCGCCCCCGGCCTGGACGGGCTTAGTCAGAGAACAGGCTGGCGAAAGACTTCCTCAGGTTGCGGATGGTTTCCGCCTTGGCCTCGTCCTCACTTGGGGTCCCACACTGGGCGGCGTCGGAGGTGCTGAGGCTGTTGGTCAGGGACTGAGATTTGCTGAAACAGAAAGGCAGGGGGGTTGGGGAAGACAAGGCCAAGACTACTGAGGAAGTGAGTCTTGGGGGCCTGCCTGGAGGTGGATGGACTAGCCCAATCTCATAGGGTTAGTAAGACCAGAAACCAGGCATTCTAGAGCTTCCATGGCGCTGGGTGCATTAAGCACAGTTTAATCTGTAAGGCGGTGATTGTTATCCTCATTTTTTAGGTTTAGAAATTGAGGCTCACAGAGTCAAGTAACTTGCTCTGTCCTCACAGCAGGCCATGGGAAACATGGAAAGTTCACCTTCTTTCCGTGACCCCGGCAGTTCAGGCAGCAGGTGTCACCAAAGAGAAGTGCGACTATTCTCCTGCTTGCAGGTACAAGCTCAGCCTGGAAACTGCAACGTGCAGTATCAGCATCAGGTTACAGTTACTCCCACTGTGATTTCCAGCATCCATTTGGGAAGCAGGAGGTCTGTGTTCTAGACCCTTCTCTGCCATTGGATGTCTATGGCCTTGGGCAAGTGACTCACCTTCTCAGGGCCTCCTTGACCTCGTCTGTGGAATGACCCTCAGGCCTCTTCTGGCTCTGACACCCTGGGCTTCAATTCCCACCTCTGCTCTGAAGCCTTTATTGCCAATGCCGCCCCCACCCCCGTTTGGAATTGTCACAGTGCCGCGTTTGGAACCACCGAGTGCCGTTCTGTGTGTGCTGCACCGGTGCCAGCCTGCGCCCACTGCTTGCTGAGCAGCTCCTGTGTGGCCAGCCCTGGTGCTAGGTGACGGGGTGAGGGAAGAGTGAGCTTCAGGCCCTGTCCTCGAGAGGCTCACAGTCTAGTGGAGGTGACGGCAGACATAGGAAGAGATGATATAAATATGTCATAAGTTTAAGAGATCTGCACACGATCTTGTCATCACGTTAAAAACTGAAATCCTCTTTAAATCAGGGACTGTCTTCTACCCCTTGCTTCCGAACCCTTCACAGAGCCTTACCTGGGACAAGACACAGAGTAAACCTTTGGTAAAGACCTGCTGACTTGAACCAAATGCTTTGAAGCAGTAAGTCCAGAGACTTAAGTGTTTCTAGCTAGATTGCTGTAAGGTCAGTGACCAAACTGAGCTTACGTCCCAAAGCCCTGGTCTGTCCTGTGATTAGCTAAGCTGACCTTTTTACATGGTGACAGGCAGTACACAGATGTGCCTCTATGGTGCCATCAGCATTCTGAGCACTAACTATTCATAAACTCACTTTAATCCTTGTAACAACCATGTGGGGCTACTGTCCCCATTTTGCATGTGAGGAAATTGAAAGCACAGAGAGGTTAAGCCACTTATCTGAGGTTCTGTCGTTTCTAAGTGGTAGAGCTGAGATTTGAACCCAGGCCATTTGACCAGAGTCTGGGCTGTCAACTGCTATGTCATACAGCCTGGAGGGCCACTTGCTAGTATCTATCAGACTACAACTACATTCGTTCTTTGATCGAACAATACCCTTTCAGGTAATTTCTCTACAGTGCATGCTGCAATTATGAAAGCAGATGGTCAAGGTTATTACTTGCAGCATTATTTGTAAGAACAAACCAAGTTTCTATTTATGATGGGGTAGTTAGATAAATTATAGTACAACTATACAATGGAATACTATATAGCTGTGAAAAAGGAGAAAATGTCAATGAACTGGGTGGAAGAGCTCCAGGATTTACTGTTAATCATGAAAAGCAAGCAGCACAGTGGGGCGGATAGTGAATACTACCATTTGCATAAATGGGGGAGGAGATCAGAACATCTATTTTTGTATTTGTATAAGGAAACCCTGAAAGGACACACGAGGAACCAACAAAAATGGTCATTTCTAGGGACTGGGGGAACAAAGCATTGGATAAGAATGGGGTGGGAGTGAGGCTTTTCAATGTATTATCTTTGATATCATTGATATCTTTTAGATCTTTGAACCATGTGAACCTATTGCCTATTCAAAAAAATTGTTGTTAGTGTGATCCCTGGACTGCATGTCCTAGATTCAATCCCAGCTCTTCTACTTACCAACAGTGGAAACTTTGGCAAGTTATTTAATCTTTCTCTGCTTTCTCATCTTCACAATGGGGTTAATAATAGTTATTAACTCTGAAGCCTGGGGGAACTTAAAAAAAAACCCAACTGGGTAAAGTACTTGGCACATAGGAGGTGGACAGGAGCTGTTAGTTGTGAAACAATGATGATCAATAGGAGTGTTTGGAGTTGAAGGAAGGCAGAGTGTTCCAAAGAAAACTTATCTGGGATCTCTCTTTTGGACCTCAAACCAAGAGATGGGCCCGAGAGGAAACAGGATATGTATGTGTATTATGATGGATGATTTACAAAAATGACCACGACAATTCCTCCTCTCCCTGTAGTCCACCCTTTTGCAACGTGACTTTGTGGCTCCTCCCTCAAGAGTCTATTTCCCCACCTCTTGAATATGACTTGCTTTGACCAAAGGCATGTGATGGAATAACAATGTGTAACTTCCAAGGCTGGGCCTCAAGAGGCCTTGAAACTTCTACTTTTCCCCTTTTGGAAAGCAGCTCTACCATGTGAGAAAGCTTGGCGATGCCCTGGGGAGGATGAGACCCCCTGGAGAGAGAGGCCCAGCTGACAGCCAGCACCAGCAAGCAGGGGAGTGTGCAAGGCCCTCTTGGACCATCCAGCCCCACCGGAGCTGCCAGATGACTGCAGCTATATGAGTGATCCCAGGGCAGTAGTGTTGCCAGATTTAGCAGATAAAAATATAGGACACCCAGTTAAATTTGAATTTCCGACAAAAACCAAAGACTTTTTAAAGTACAAGTATATTCTATGCAATATTAGGGGCATCTTCAAAATCATCCATTGTTTTTCCGAAATTTAAATCTAACTGGGTATCTTACGTTTTATCTGGCAACTCTATAGGAGACACCAGCAGAAGAACCTTCCAGCTGAACTCAACTCAGAACAAACTGATGAACCAAAAAATTATAAACAAAGAAAATGGTTCTTTTCTTAAGCCACTAAGTTTAGGGGTGGTTCGTTATGCGGCAAGAGATAACCAATGCATGTACACACGGAGGGTCACAGTGGGGCATAATCTATACTCTCACCTTGCTGGGCCCTTCCCACAAATTCCACCCTCTAGACCTGTTTTTACCTATTTAAAGTCTAGGTGAGGCCCCAAGAGGTCTTCCTTTGTCTCTGAGTCCCTGATCCTGAATCAGCCCAGCTCTGCCCGTGCACCCCAACTCCACCCCATCCCCTTTCCAATTCCAAAGCACTTACTTGAGGTGGGGGTGGGGCGGTGCAGGCTTCTTGGACTCTTCGCCCTGCTGAGAGGTGCTGCGGCCCTGCACAGGGGGCCGGGGCTGTGAGGTGAGGGCGGCGCCTGGCTTGGAGGCCTGGTTTGGGGAGGCGCCGCCGGATGCCCGGGACAGCTGTGGAGAGCCTGGTGACCTTTGCTGCTGCGGAGATCCTGACTGGGGGCTCAGGGGCTGCTGGCCTTGTGGGGAGAGCCTCTGTTGGGAGGGGCTTCCAGATCTCTGGGGCTGGGGAGACTGGGCTTGGCGAGGGCCCCCTACAGGGCCAAAAAAATAAATAAATAAAAGGTTAAGTTCCAATTTTTTCTTAGGATAAACATGGCTATACATAAATAATGTTGCTTCAAGGATGTTCATTACAGTGTTTTTTAGAAACGGTGAAAAACTGAAAACAGTATAAATATCTAACATGGGGAAGTAATTAGGAACATTGAAATATATCCATATAATGGAATATGCTGTGGTCATCACATATGATGTGGCCAAACAATATTAAATGACATAGGACATTGCTGATAATATATGCTAAATACATACTGCTAAACAACAAAAAAGCAGCTTAAAAACAGGACATATGGATTTGCTCCGTTTTGGCATATATGTGTAAGAGCTATGTGAAGAAGACGGACTGGAAGGTTGTACACTAACTAAAACCAGCGTGTCTCAAACGTAAATGTGCATGTGAATCACTGGGCGGTCTTGTCAAATAGGGATTCTGACACAGTAGGTCTGGGGCGGTGTTATGGGCTGAACTGTGTCCCCCCCAAAATTCACATGTTGCAACGCTAACCCTCAGTGCGGCTGTATTCGGAGACAGGGTCTTAGGAGGTAATAAGGTTAAATGAGGTCATGAGGGTGGGGCCCTAATCTAGGACTGGTGTCCTTATAAGAAGACCCAGAGACATCGCGAGCGGGCACGTGCCCGGGCACAGAGGACAGGCCATGTGAGGACGCAGGCTGTCCTCGGCAAGCCAAGAGAGAAGCTGCACCAGAAACCAACTCTGCCAGCGCTCTGGTGTTGAACTTCCAGCCTCCAGAACTGTGAAAAAATACATTTCTGTTGTTTAAGCCCCTCGGTCTATGGTGTTCTGTTATGAAGGCAGCCTGAGCAGACTAATGTAATATAGTATAAGGCTTTTAGGATTTTGTTTGTTTGTTTGTTTTTGACTATACCACACAGCGCTGCCCTGAGTCCTTGTAACATCTTCATGCGGATTAAGAAAAGGCGGCTTCCTCCAGTGGAAGCAGCTCTGAGCCAGGTGCCAGGGGAGCGAGGACTGGATTTCAGCCAACCTCCCCGCTCAGACATCGAGGCAGCTGGGCACATTTTCAGAGGGCACAACCTCTGGTGGCTCTAAACCCACACTGGCACCAGGAGCCCCAGATCCTGACTCAAGCCTGGTCATTAACTTGCTGTGTGACTGTGGGTAAGTCACTCCTCCTCTCTGGGCTTCTGGGCCCTCGTTTGTAAAATGAGGTTGTTGGACTATACACCAAACATCCGCCCCACTTTGTGAGCCTGCAGAACCCTTTCCAGGTTGGATTCAATTGCAGCACCAGTTTAGCAACCGACTGAGCGCGGCTTTGGTTCATTACCTCTTTCATGACTATGTGTCCCAGGAGGCTGGAGGACACTCTGATCTCAAACACAAGCACCTATAAGGCCAGGCAGATGCTTAAATAAATAAAGCAGGTGAGTGTAAGAGAAATAATATGGCTTTAAGAAATTTTCCCACTTGAGATAAAAACATAGTCCAGAGAACTATTTCCCTAAAGAGGTGCAAGCATAAAGAAAGTAACGCTCCCTGTCACTATGGACGTGACAACAGGGAGGAGCAGGGCCCGAGGCAACTCGAAGAGGCCTGGCTCCGTCCAAGGGAGCGGCTGCTACGAACACCAGGCGACAGCTGGGATGTGGGAACACAGGCCCACAGTGTCCAGGGCTTCTGCCCTGTCAGGAGAAGCTGGAAGTCTAGATGTCGAAGTAAAACCTCCTGATTTCTACATGCTGGTTACTTTTCGGTTTTCTAAACCCACTGCAGGTTAAAGCAAGCATTTGTTTTCTACTTTTCCTTATGTTCACCCCATCCCCCTCCCCAGGTGGATATCTTGGAAAATCTGGATGCTCATTCATTAGTTCATTAACCATTTTCTGATTCCCTATATACACCTGGGAGTCATCAAGAGACACGCTGGTTATTTCTTTCAGCTTCTTGGCACACCAAAAAAATTTGATACTTTTTTATTCGAGCACATATAAAAAATATTAACTTATATATGGAAAGTATTTGCCTAAGCACGGGATTGGTGCCGAAAAATTAAGTTTATTAAAAGAAACTTTCACTTTTACTGAGTTGAAATGAACAGCGAGTTCAAAATAAGTTAATAATGTGATCTTGTTATTTGGGGAACTCAATGAAAGTATTGTTTTTAAATTAGCCTTGTTATTTTTAATCTGAATGTAAATTCACCAGGCATTTTCTTTAATTACCGTAATTGGTTTTAAATTGATTGTTTTTCAACTCACTAAAAGTGTGTTTAGCCTCATGTCCCTTAAAATAATATCTCTTTATCAAGCATGTTTCTACTCTGGGCCAGAGAGGAAATCGGAATACAGTAGTTCTCTGTTTTAAAAGGGCTCTGTTCAAATGTGTTTTTAAAAACTAAGTCCTAGGGCAGAGCACGAAAGGAGGGGCAGGGCAGGGGCCCTGCCAGGAGCCTGGCGGGGTGAGGAAGAAGCAGTTTTTAAACATTTGTAACTACAGAATTTTTGCTGGGCAGGAGGGCAGCGGGGCTGCGGTAGTTACAAGGATTGTTAATGATAATCACTAAGAGCAACATGTAGAAGACACAAGTCATCAGTAGTCAGTTACATAACAGTGATAGTAAATTACTAGCAGTAAGAACTAACACTTAAGCAGTGCTGTGTCGGATACCTTGCTAACTGCTTCACCTGCATTAGTTCATGGACAATTCCCCATCCTTAGATGTGGCAGCTTTATCTCATCCTTTATCCCAGGGAAACTGAGGCTTGGAGAAGTAACGTGACTTGCCTAAGACCGAAAAGGCAGCTGAGTCATGGAACTGGATTCAAAAACACACATATCTGCCTGAAGAAGAATTCTAATGTTCATTGATATAGGCATACCTCGTTTCACTGTGCTTCATTTTATTGCGATTCGCAGATACGGTTTTATAAGTCGAAGGTTTGTGGCAACCCTGCGTTGAACAAATCTGTCAGTGTCATTTTTTCCAACATCATGTGCACAAACCTGTGTCTCTGGTCACATTTTGGTAATTCTCAAATATTTCAAACTTTTTCATTATTATTATGTATGTTATGGCTAGTAAATTTCAGTAAAAGTGAA